GCGTCGTTGAGATCAAAATCATCAGCATGGAATTTCGTAGACCATCCTTGGTACTGACGTTCTTGTAGAGCATTGTCACCGTAAACGCAACTTTTCACAAGCTTGACGCGCGTTCTTTACGGAAGTAAAACAGTAATATATGGCGAAAATGCAGTCTTTCATCTTCAACTTGTTATAAAATCTCCAAAACTCAACCAAATCGTTTAATTTTTTGTTTAGAATGAAGCTAGAACTGTCAACTGTCAAATGACATAGCAATAACATAGATGCGAATGATTCTAGTATTTCCAAAAATGAACTAGCGCCATCTGTTAAAATGCGTCATGACTTTTCCGACCAATAAATAGCGATTCATCGCTAAATATTATTTAAGATAGGAATCTGGGATCTTGATCTACTCTTCTTAGAAAATTTTCACAAAATGTTTTTCTTCGAGGATAATCTTCTGGTCGTAAATATTGCACGCGGGTGTAATGAAAGGGGTGCAATTTTTCTTTTTATAGTGGAAAAATTGTCGCTCTCGAGCAACAACCTGAATATGTGTTTCAGGTTCTTGTTCAAAAACACGAACAACTGTTTCCGTATTCCGCAAATTTTTTGCGAAGATGATTTTTACCAGTGTCGTGTTTATTCAGAAGGACACTGCCAGTTTCGTACAATCTTTGAGCTGCTGCAGGTATGACGATGCCCGATGGATACCCCTCTCGATTTGAATATAATTTCGCATACTTCTTGCGGCAGGATGAGACCGCCCGTGACACTTGCTAAACGCCATCAGCATGACGTGATATTCTTGATTTGTATTTGTTTTCATGTCATCCTGATAAAGACATTTTATTAATCGGAGAATTATGAGGGTCATTCGATAAGTCAGATAAAAAAGCAATAAAATCACCTATTTTTCGGAAAATTCTTTTTCACTTTTCGACGTAGTCTCTTTGGAGCTTTACACACTTAGTCCAGCGGTGTTCCAATTTTTTGATCCCTTCGGAAAAATAGGAAGTCTCGAGGCCTTCAAAATACGCATCTACAGCAGCGATGACTTCCTCATCGGACGAAAATTTTTTTCCCCGAACCAGATCTTGAGGTTTGGGAATAGAAAGAAGTCACAAGGAGCTAAATCAGGAGAATAGGATGGATGGGGCAGCAATTCGAATCTTAATTCATGCAATTTTGCTATTGCAACTGTGGAGGCCGGAGCATTGTCACTATGTGTGAGCCGGAGCATTGTCATGGTGAAAGATAACTTTTTTGCGCGCCAATCTTGGCCGTTTCGTTTGCAGCTCTTCGTACAAACGATTCAGAAGTGTAGAATAATATGTTCCTGTGACTGTTTGACCCTTTTGTAATAGTCAATGAGATGATTCCTTGG